GGCATAGCTAAATGCCCTGAAAATTTACAGATGTGTACTTCACATAATACAAAACCCACTAAAAAAGTTTCAAAAAATAATAAAATGGTTTAGACCCCGAACTAAAGTGAAAACAAAAAGTAAAAAGTGAAAAATACGTGGGTGAGCACGTTTCGACACGGCCATCTTTGGCGATTTTTTATTCTTATTTGGCTTACCCAAATGACTTGAAAATTTACAGGCATGTACCTCACGTCATAGAGAACTCACAATAAAAACTTCAGAAAAGAATAATTATTTTTAGGCCCCGAAATAATTTTTGGCGGGGGCCGAACGCCGTCGGGTTCGGAACACATACGGGACCCCGAACGCCCGTACGTACGGAGGTCTGCCCGGGGACCTCCGTACGTACGGTCTGGTGACCCTGTATATATCGTCACATAAATATATATATAGTATATAGTCACAAATTTATCAGAGCGCAAATGCTGAAAAAAGAAGAAATAAATTCATTTTTTATCTTCTTCCTTACAAGACTCCCCCTGTTCAAAACCTCTTGCGTACAAGGCCGCCCACGTGGATGTAGGTTGAGCGGCGGCTGCCCCCACCCCCGTGTGTCATATCAACCGACTTGCACACAGCCAAAAGGCGAAGAGGCAAAGAAAAGAGGAAGGGAACAGCCAAACATTACAGAACAGGGGGCAAACGAATCCTAGATGACAAGTCCCACATGCAGACACCGCCCCCGACAGCACAGGCCAAACGACGGGACAAACCAGCCAGGATCCAAGACACGTATATATACTCTCTCTGCCTACAGTTTACCGGGCAGTTCTGTTTGTGACGATATATATATATATATATCGTGCATGCTTCAGAGGTATGGTTAATGCTAGCCGCCCTGGCTCCTGCTGTGACGAAGTTGCTTACCTGAATGGTTTTTGTCCTGTAGATCAGCGGGAGGGCTGCTACCATCGCCTGCATCCTTATGACAGTTGTCCTATCTGTCGTGAGGGTCTTACTTAGACGTACCTACTAAAACTGCAAAGCTGTGAAGAATGCAGTAAAAGAAGAACATAAGTTTGTGTCATCTACTTTGTTTGTACCCTGCACCCTAACACCCTAAAAAGAAAAGTCTGAAGGGTGAAAATGAAGATGAAGAAGGAAGTGCAGG